GAGCATGTGACAAAAAAGTGGGAGAAATAAAGTTTTTTTAATTGACTTTCTTATAGATTTTAAGCTGAAATGTTGCTAGTTTAATTTCCATTCATCACATTGTGGAACTGAAAAGTCTCATTAGTGGAAATGCTGCATCTGCATCTTGTCAGTGCCCCAGATACAGTATGTAGCTCGCCCTCCGGAACCAGAGCGAACGTCACCCTTCGCTTCAGTCACTTAATAGCAAACACATTTTTTCCTCTTTCGACACAAACACACGGTCTGCTTGTGTTTGCCATGCGTTTGACAGTGATGCAGTGTACAGTTTTATTTGGCCAAAATGAGACTCAGATGTGTAGAAAGAGCAGGATAAACTACCTGCAGCAGGCCAGCCACTGCATCAGGAAGCTGCTCTCATCGGAAAAGCCTGGTGCTCCGTCCTCCTGCTTTAATCTGAAACATAGATTTTTGTTCAATTAGATCAGTGCATCCCTTAACTGTGTGGAACACTGGAAAACATATGGCCAGCTTGTGTTCGGCTGGAACCTACCGAAATGAAGCGTTACCTTTTCTTGGGCCTCCATCCCTTTTTCATAGACATGTGAGGTAAACAAAAAAGGCCAGAGAACATTAAAATGTTTTTGATCAAGTTTGATCAACAACAGATTTTAGCTTTTTGCTTTTTGAAGCTGTGAGGGAAAGGTTCAGGTCTAAAGGTCCAGAATCCCATTTCTGGGAGTTTGCACACACTGTCCGCCAGTTTATTGTTGGTTCCTGAGCCATTCAGTACATAGTTAAATCTTTGCATTCATACTCCTGCTCTTTTAAGACCCAGTCTTCATTGGTGTAACTATGTCCACAAAACACTGATCTTCTTCATTTTTGGAGTTGTAGGATTCTTCTACTGTGACCCTCATGCTGATCATCCTGCACATCATCTGCATCTCACTCATTCTCTTCAAAGTTCATGTCCTCTCACAGCTGTTTTAAATCAGTCTAATTACCTCCTAAGGATTCCTGCTTCACATTTCAGTTAATAATTTTCAGTATCTGCTGGTGGCTGATTATATACCTATTTTTTCTTCTTTCTGTCTTTTTTTTATGGTAATCTTCCTGTATTCATAATCGTATAAGTTGAACTTTTTTCAAAAAAAAGTTTAATATAAACATAACCATGCCAGCCTCTTGCACATATTTGAGTCTGAGCATAAGACAAACTAATATTGCTTAATTCCAACTGGGAAACATAAGGCCATTTGCAAGTACTCTAACCGAAAAATGTGCTTGTAAATCTTTAAAAACAAATATAAATATCAGCCTTAAAAGCTGCCAGAAGCTTGAAATCTGCAAGCCTATGGTAGCTTGCCTAACACCAGTATAGAAAAAAAAAGAAATTGGTTGTATGCAGAAACAATAAATGAAGTATGATGTTGGTCATTTTGCACAGAGCTATTTTTTTTTTTTTACAATAAACATACTGTAGAATAGGCATCTTTGTAATTATCTTTGCAATTATTTGCAATTATCTTTGCAATACCTGCCAAACAACTTCACAAACTATTTAAAGCAGGATTGAGGCATATTTTGCAGTGTTTTCAGATTGGTTCAGGTGGTCAAAGTCAGACCGCCTCTGTTACGCGCCGACCAAGGGAGGCAGTCACAGGACACTATCAGCTGACTTATATAGGGAGAAGATGACTTTAGGAGTCAAAGGAGAGACGTAGTGATGACATACTGTTTGTTCACCCACCCAACTGCAGGAAATAATTGCTTTAAAAAGAGATAAAAAAAATAGATTAAATTACTGTTTGAGAAGATTTTTATGTGATGATATGACATCTCCTGTCATTCCAGAGCATTTTTTAAAACTCACAGCTAAGTAGGGTTTTACCATCTCCATGTGTGCCCTTTAGATGACCAGGAGCTCAGAGGTGGGTTGCATTTACTTTAGGATTGAGGATGTTTTACAGAAGAGGCTATTCAGTCGATCATTAACTGATGAGAAAAGTAGAACAATCAATCTGAAATAGCAGCTGCCTGGTCAAAGCTGGGTCTTTAATAGGACATCTATTAAAAACACAGCAGTTATTATGCACAAAAAAAGAAAGAAATTTAAGGAACCTATAAAGACAGTTTACTGTTACGTTTCTCCAGTTAAAACAGAATATCACATGCTGAAAAATCATGTTTAATACCATAACACCATAGCCACATTTTGGAGAACCAACAGTTCTTACCAAGAATTATACCAAGAAACACAATACCCTGGAAGTCACACCTCCACAATGTGCGAGCCAGTTTGGGAGCAAACATCTTGTTCTTCCCAACTTCTTGTTCGCTCTGATACACTTTCTCAAAGACTCACAAAGGTTGACCTTGAGGGCAGGAAATCGAATTAGTGGAGTGTATCACGGCTCCTTGTGAGTGTAATCAGTGCAGGCTGAAGATACAGGGCCATTGTAAGTCACTGTGGTCAGAGCGCATAGAGACAGAAACCACTGGGGGAAGCTGTCCTTATCAGAACACATGCTTCTAGCTGGGAGACTGTGTGTGTGTGTGTGTGTATATATGTGTGTGGTGGGGTGGTGCTGGTGAGTTATGTGTGGAAGTCATGACCGAGTGATTTCACAGGGAATTAGGTTGTTCACGCTTTAAATGGTGTTTAAAGGAAGCTTATGGTGATCTTCAAAACAAATGTAAATATGAACAAAATTTTGAAACAACTTTTTTACGTATTCTTTTTATATAAAGAAATATTCTGTAAATGTCTAGAATGGGACAAACCATCACTTTCCCTCTGGTTTAACAGTTTAGTCCATCCTGGCAGAGGAAGGTAAGACCAAGCCGATGGACTTCCAAACGAGTGGCCAGGAGCCGCCTAGAGTGTCCCCAATGCAGCAACTGCAGTGGTCATGCAGGAGTCCAATCCAAGTTAGAGAAGCAGTTCAGAACCGGACAGTTCCGAGATCCAGGAGTCCATCGCCGGACCAGGGGTTCCGATCCAAACAGGAACAGACAGATCCAGGGTTCCAGGAATCCTCAGAGAGTTCAGGCAGGTTCAGAGTTCTAGGAGTCCAGTAGCGAGCTCAGACTAACACGCTCAGATGCAGACAGGCAGGCTCACTGGTAGAGAGAAACATAGACAAGACTTGGTACCAGGATAAATGCCGAACTTTAAACTGGTCTCCACCTTGGAGCAAGGCTTATAGGAATTAAAACTGACCTTCCCTGTGTTCCCAGCCAAAACCCTAAGGGCTCCACGGAGGAAGACCAGAACCCGCGCTTCTCCCACACACAGAGCCAAAACCCTGATGGCTCAGTGGAGAACAGCCGGGACACAACCAGGAGACAAACACCAAACCCTCTCAGTCCACTGGCCTCCAAGACTCAAGACATGAACCAGGGACTATAATCTCATGAAATCAGCAAAAATAACTGACATGAAAACACAACATGAATAAACTAAGAATGCACAAATAATGGTCTAGCTCCGATAGCTGGGCTGAAATGTATATATAGCAGAAGAAGCAGGTGAATAAGATCTATGATAAATAGAGAGTGGGGAGGAAACAGCAGGTGAATGAAGTGAGTAACTAGATCAGCTACCAGGGCTGCAATCATGAGAGTAAATCCTGATGAAACATGAGAACGTCTTTGTTAAAGATCAGGGAAGTTAGTAGAACAATGGAAATTCCCCATCAAGGAATAAACAGCATCCAGGTTACACATGCCTTACAGAGCAATGCTAGAGTTTCCATGCAATTATCATCCACTTTTCACAAATTGGAATTTTTTTTAATAACTTATTTCAAAATGTTTGGATGTGAACAGAAATAACAACAGAACAAACAATTTCTAAAAAGAAAAACTAAAAGCTGCTCTGCGTTTATTATGGATTCTCTCAACAATTTGTTTATTTATCGAACATTCATGTAACCATAACACACCCAAAACTATAAGGAAAATGTGTTTATATGGTCAAAGGATGGGGTAGAAGCCTAAGTAACATTACCTTCAACCTTCCTTCCATCATCTACATATTGCCTTTTTTAGATGCTCTAGCACACGTATGTATACATGCAAACATATACACAGCAGCATTAGCCACACATGTGGGTTTGTTTACAAGATACTGTTCACCTGCAAAATGTGCATTGGCAAGGAGAAACAAATGAAAATAAATCCACTTTTGTTCTCGACCCAAAAAGCAGACCAAAGCACATTTCTGCTCATAAAGGTTGTATTATTACAATCACAAAAAAATCAGATAAAAAATTAAACGCATAAAATCAATACAAAACTTGTTTTTTTATAATAAATGGATGCAGACCTTGGACCAGAATTACAGGATCTCCATGACTGACATACTATCAAACCCTAAAAAATAAAATGATGAAATTAAAGAATTTTGAGCCCATGATAAAAGACTGATTAAAGCAGATTTATCAAATCTTATCTTAAAATGTCTTAAACCTATTGATTTTTTTACTTCTCTGAATATGTCATTGAATTTTCTAAAAACATAACAGAATTTTCATCTTTTAATTCACACAAACTCCTCATATTTTTTCTGGTATTTGGTATTTTTATACTCAGTGGTAAGTAAGAGCAGCAGGAATAAGAATAGCCTAAGTCTCCTGCTTGTTTCCAGTATCATTGTTAGGCACAGACTGCAAACTGTGTTTTCCACTGCGGATGTCATTGTTTTTTCGCTGTCTGTTAATTATTTTTGTTGCTGGTATTTAGCCTCCTTCTGATACAGGGTTTCCTGCTATTGTCTTTTTCTACCAGGCTGGCTGTCTCTGGACCAATGCCAGCCGGTCCCTCCTACCTTAACACACATCACACACAAACACATGAACACATGTACACTTTGCTCCCTCTGTTCTTTCTCTCTTCCTCCTCTTGGCACATGAGAGAAAACACAAGAAGTCAGTGATACAGCAAACCAGCTCTGTGTGTGTTTGTGTGTGTGAGGAAGGGAGGGAGGGAGGGAGGGAGAGAGTCCACCAGACATCTCAGAGAGGTTAATCTCTCTCTCTCTCTTGTTCACTCTGTGCCTCAGTCTCTCCCTCCCTCTTTCTCCTTTTGTTGCGGCCCCTCACTTTCTCAACACTTGGACAGAGGGAACTGATACTGCGCCTGGACCACTGTGAATCTGTTGTTTGAGTGTCCTGTCTCCACTCCAGGGCTTTGTGGATTGAACCTTGCATGAACATGACTGAGGGGACCCCGTAACATACTCCTCTTGGTGCACAAAGCAAACTGGTAAGCCAACAAACTAAGTGGGGAAGCTGTCAGATTGGATCTTTGTGTTTTTTATGTTGCTGCATTGGGGGGAGTTAAAGATGCAAAATGCTCTGTTCCTGCCTGCCTCTCATTCTACCTCTGTTCCCGTACTCAAGTTACCGGCTTCCTCCTGTTGTTGTGAGCCCTGTGGTTTTTTGTGCACTGCTCTTGGGGCGCTCCCACGCTCCCCCAAAGAGAAATATAGGAAGGCATTTCACTGTTGAGAAGAATCTGGAGAAGCAGGCTTGGTTTTTAATCCCCACGTCTCCCGTGTGTCTTCATGCTGGCAAACCTTCCTTCAACATTTGTTAAAATGTTTGTCACTTTTCTATGCTTCTTTGGCTGTTTTCTTGTTGTTTTTCTTTTTTGTGTTCTCTGGACAAAAGCTTCCTCTTTTCCTCCAAGGTGGTGGAGAGGCCGAGGTGGTGAGAAAATTGGAAACAGAGCCACCCACAGTGGAAGTGAGTCAGCCCAGCATTTAGTGGTGTGTTGACTTTGGAAATGGCAAAGACTGGGGGGGGGGGTCCATGTGTTTGGGGGAACAGAAAGAAAAAAGTGTCAGAAGAAAACCAATCCATTAAAGTGTCAATTTGTTCAAACTTTCTGCCAAGCGTCCCACAAACTCTTGAGTCGTAAGCGACAGGCGTTAAGGTAAAAGAGGAGGAGATGGACGGAGGAAAAAGAAGGGAGGAGAAAAAGTTGAAGCCAGAGGCTGTTTATAAAGGGAGGGAGCGGCCTGTGTCCATCTGGGACAATCCCCGAATGCTGAAAGCGTCCCCACCCTGATCCCAAACATCTTTCCCCCTCCTCTACTCTTTTCATCCTTCACAGTAAAACAAATAATTCTCCTTCAGTCCTTTTAAAAATTCTAACTTTTTTGTCCCTCTGTATTTCTTTTACTCTCTCTACTCACCTGAAGAGCAACCATTTAGACTTCCTGACCTCTATCAACACAAAATACCTTCTCAGATCCAAGTGCAATTAAATGCAGAAGAATATATGCAGTAAAACCCCAAAACTTAGAATATCACTGAAAAGTTTATTTAGGTTAGAAACTCTACTCATTGTACAGCCGTTTATGCCAGGCTGAGGTTTAGAGTGTGACTTTAAGACCATTAAAATACTTTGTTCTGTTTGTGCCTTTACACAAGAATAACAGTGGAAGAGTGGGTAGCACTGCTGCCTTGCAGCAAGAAGGTTCCAGGTTCAATTCCCAGCCCAGGGTCTTTCTGCATGGAGTTTGAATGTTCTCCCTGTGCATGTGTGGGTTCTCTCTGTGTACTATGCCTTTCCTCCACAGTCCAAAAACATGACAGTTAAGTTGTGTGTGTGTGAATGGTTGTGTTGCGCTGTGATGGACTGGTGACCTGTCCATGGTGTACCCCTGCTCTCGCCCATTGACAGCTGGAGATAGGCACCAGCACCCTGTGACCCAAGCAGGGATAAGCATGACAGAAAATGGATGGATGGAGAGTCATGAAGAAAACCCAGCAATTTTACTAATTGGTGCAGCTGAATAGAGTTTAAAATGTGTAATTTAAACTCTGCAAAGATCCAGCATTTCTGTGAATACCAAGCAAGCATGTTTGAGAACATTAGTCAACAAACAGCATCAAGAACACAGGAGGGATGTGTTACATAAACAATAGGAAGGCCATTAGTGTGCACTTAATGGAAAGTGTGAGAAAGCAAATGTGTGACGATGTTCTGGTCTGAACCTTTACAGTTCTGGTATGCATACACAACAAATATGTGTCAGAAAAATAACTAAACATTACAGTGAACTTTAATAAAACATGGTGGTGGTGGCATCAGGCTGTGGGGATGCATTTCTTAAGCAAAAATCCTGAGAGGAAACCTGTTAGAGGCTCTAAAACTTCATACAATGACCAAAAAACATGCAATTTAATGGCCTAGTCAAAGTTTGGATGTGAATTTATATGATAATCTATGGTAAAACTTCCATAACTTCCATAGCTTTTGTTTTCATGTGACTATTAAGAAAGAAAAAGCAGCAGAACCTTGACGGCCTCTTAAGTCCTCCCTCTTTGTTGAGCTTGCTTGACCTCCCTCCAGCTCCTCTTCCTCCCCTCGGCCTTCCTCCCTCCACTCAGTCTGTGTGTCCAGCGATAAGGGGACATCAACGGTAGCACCTTCTTTTGCCACAGGAAGCAGGAAGTGTTGATTTCCACCACAGCCCTTCTGGACAAACTCGCTCTCAGTCCAGTGGTACACCTCACGCATGCACATTCACACATACGCCTGGTGGCAGTGAGGTTGTATACTTGCAGAGAAGTTCCTGACCTCTGCGCTGACAATGACTTCAGTATGGCTTTCCTCTGCAGCTGTGCCCGCTGAAGGGTTTTTTCTTTTATGGGAAAACACCTGGGAAGCAGCCCTCTCTATGCCTCTTTGACCTTAGGCTTGGCTCGTAGGTCAGAGGATGATTGGCTAATTATTTCTCTAATCACAGAGTATGTTTTTTTTCGTCCACTGTCCACAGAGGCAAAGGGTGTCGCTATTGAGCTTAAAAAAAACATACCTATTTTCCAGTTTGACAGCAGAGTTGCAGGATTATCTGTGAGAAGAAGAATGGCTGGAAAAATAAGGGAAGTAATCAACAAATTCTTTAAATCTCATCTTGATAGCATTGATTTATCTGTTATTTCTGACAATATTTCCAATAGTCCCAAACTTGCTGACATTTTTCCTCCCTTAGTTATTCCAAAGCATTCTTTTCCAGTATATGACTCTGTGGTTGGAAAACAGCGATAGTCATGTTGAAAGCAGGATATTTAGGGATTTATAAAAATAGAAAAAGGAAAGAATTCCCATACATGGATTAAATACTATTTCATTTTTTCCTATTTTTCTGCTTCATGACTTATGAAATAATTTATCATGCAGGAAAATAAATATGTTAAAATTAGTGCAAACGTTATGGATTTCAGTGGTTATTTCACTTTAGGTTCGCACGCTGGTGTTCCCTTTTTTTTAATCTCCATAATATTAGTCATAGATTCACCAAATATGGTATTTAATGAACAGAGAAACAAGCAAAAAAATCTAAGTTGAAAGGAATCGCCAATTTCCAGAACACATATGGAGGACACTATGACCATGTGGAAAAAAAGTGGTGCTCACCACCAAACATGGCCCAAACAACAATATCTGCATTGATGCTCAGTAGTGGCACCATCATGCTATGGGAATGCTGTTTATTCCTAAGTGGAGATGAAGAAATTGATCTGATTCATTGAGATGAAGTAAATATAGAAGTAAATTCTGGATTGATAAAATAAAATAAAATAAAAACTGCAATAGGCCGTAAAGACTTGAGATCAGAGTTTTACAATCATTCAGAAAGATCTAAAATACATAACTAGATCTACAATGGGACATTTCAGATGAAGGCATTTTTATCTATATAACAACCTAGTATAAAAGTGTGACCCAAATCAAATTGATTATCTGTTGCTGTTGCTGTTGATCTTCACCCTTCTTCGACAAAACTTAATCAAATGGGTAAATTTTCCTCAGCATTCAGTTTATTCTTCCTAATTTAGGATTTTTTTAACCTGGTCCTACATGTTTTAGGTGTTTCCCTGCCTCCACACATCTGACCTGAACGAGAAGGTGAACAACGGGCTTTTGCAGCATTTGATGGCTGCAGAGGAGGAAATGCAATCATTTGAACCAGGTGTGCGCAAACAGATACATCTAAAACCTGAAGGGCAGTGAGCCGTGAGGAGCAGGGTTAAGAAACCCTCTCTTTACGGACTTGCACCTTTATTTAAATGTGTTGAAGCAGAACCACATTTATAAGCTGCAAAACAACAGCCAGCAGGGACCGGACTTTGTCACCATTCGTCTAAATTTAACACTAAAGAATCATAAAGTTTTGCGCATTTTCTCACGTAAAACTTGATGGATGAACTCTTTTTAACAAACACAGCTAGGATTCAAAACAAAAGACAAAAAACTTAAAAAGGGAAAGTTAAAAAAGCTAAAGTAAACTGAAAACAAAGAGAACAATGCAAGCTCAAGTGGAGACGGAGAGATTTGGGGCGATTAGGAAATATTGGAGATGTGAGTCTAAACTATGGTTAGGTCAGGAGTTAAGAGGGGTCAGGAGGTCAGAATAGGCCCGGCAGCTCAGCTTAGAACAGGATATCCTGCGAGCAAAAGTCATCTGTCTCTCCTTCTCAGCTTAATACGGGCTCTGAGTTTCCCACAGAGGGCACAGCAGAGAGGAGAAGTGTAAGCTTTCACTGAGAGCCCCAGAGAAAACTCAAGTTCATCACTCATCAGTGACAGATAGTGGACACAGATGTGCTGCTCCCTGAAATAAAGGCTTTTATAGAATAGATTTAAAGCATTTAGATGTTTCATCTTATGCTATCCATGTTTTATCATCATCAGCCACAGCAAATCCTCCTGCTAGTTTATCTCCCTGCATCTTATCTTAGTCAGACAGGCTGTGTGTGAAGATTATGAGTCCTCCCTGCTTTATTAGTTATAGTTAAACATGACATTGATATTATCTGGATGAGACCTAAGATGATTTTTAAGCTTATAAACTATCCTAGATAAATTTTCTTTATTTATCTGATTGCTTTGGAGGTTCAAACAGGGATAAGACGCCACCCTAAACTGTTAGCTCTGTTGCATTTTAATGGTTCCAGTCAGAAATGCATCGAAACACTTTCAGCACCAAAACGTCACAGAACCAAAGCAAAGGGTGGATTTTTTTTTATTTTCTAACACATCTAAGAAAAAAAAAAAAAAAAAATCTGGTTTAACTTATTTGATAAATCATTTCTTTGTTCATATCTTGTATTTAAAACTTTGTCAGAGAGGCTTGTACGAATCAAAGGCAGATCCCTGCCAAGCGTACATTAAATTGCATTTTGCATCAAAGGACATACGTTTTAGGACAAAATCAGTGCCAGTATTGAATCAGTATCGGTTCCATCTGT